TTGTAAATCGTGTTTTAGGGTAGTAGTTTCAAATTCATATTACAAAATAATTTGCTTTAAGTGGAAAAATTAATTTTGTCTGATACTGTATGTAGGCTGGGCCTAGTCGTCCATTTACTTATTTTGTTACAGTAGATTTAATATAATTTTTAAACTGATTGAACAGTGTGTTCTCAAATATCTACGAAAATTTATAATAATTTAGATATAAAGCTATATAAAAAGTTTGAAAAGCTATAGAACTGAGATATAACCCTAGATCATATAATATACTAAAGTGGACACATCAACGCCATAAGATTTATCATTAGGAAATACGTCTCCATCATCATGACATACCATTTCCATATTCCTTCTCTATTGCACCTATGAAGCATCCAACAGATTTGTCCTTTTAGAGGATTTGCGCAAGCGCACTAAAAAATGAACTTATTTCCAATATAATCACCAGTATTGTAGGATGCACAATATCGTATTAATTTCTTTTCATTTGAATTGGAATGTTTAATCATTTGTTAGCATTATCCATTAATGTCTTAGGCTGTATTCCGTTGCTTACCATGGTTATGGTTTTATGTTCCGTTTCTATCGGTTTCCTGAAAGTTTTCTTATTACGGAACACGGTTCCTGAAAAATTCGGTTATAACTGTCACCAAACTAACCAGCGTGAGTAGGCTGGTTTTTCTGGTTTCGTTTATTTTCAGTGTCATTTATGTGACAGAAATCAAGCAAATATTGAAAGTTCGAGTGAAATTCTCATTTAATTTCTAAAATTTGTAATATTTTGGATTTACATCCAAAAGCAACGGAGGTAGGCAGTAAAGGTAAATAAATTTCATTAACTAAATAGAATAACTTTTTAGGACCATTTAAACTTATCATGCAGCCATTGTTTCTTAAAGTCAGGAACATTTGAAGAAAACATGAAAAACAAGACAAAAAGTAATTGTGAATGTTTTGTAAGCTATAAAAATATAAATATTGATTAGATTTGTTTATTTATTATTGATCTATTTTAATATTGGCCCTGCAAATCTTCACTTGAGCTGTCTAACGAGTTTAACAGTTTGTTAATAAAGTACTCTTCAATATTAAACTCCATTGAAAAGAAGAAGCAAACGTAAAAGCAGAAAACAGGTACATTAAAAATGCATAAAAGATAAATTTTATAATAGTGGTATTGAAATTTAGAAAACATCAACATTTGACGTTTCCAGTATTTTACCAGACCTTTCCGTATCAAACCGATGTTTTTCAGGAACCGCTCTTTACCGTAGTTTACCGGTCTGGTTCGCCTGGTTTTGCAACGGAATACAGCTTAGTCTCTGTCAATGATTAGAAAATAATTATCATCGATTTCATTGATAATACTTAGTACATCGTTCATATGTTTGTGACAGTATTTCTAGTTATTTACTAACTTTTATCCACGTAAGTATATATGATCTAGATATATAACTGAGTTATAATGGTGAAGTTCGGATATTTGAATACATTCTGTTAGCATACTGATATTCGCATGAAGTTTATTCCCACCAATCAAAATCTGGAGTATTAATTTATTCCCATTTTCAATCAGAAAATTTAAATACATGGCGGTAACTTGTGACGTCTATTCAAAATTTCCTGATTCGGTAAACAAACAATAAACGTTATCTCTGTTTGGAGGTGCAAATTTGTTAAATCCGCAAAACAAACACCGAATACATCCTGAAGATTTAATTTATCTATTAACAGATGTTAAATCACGATAAAAAAAAACTAGTTAGTTATTTGCGAAAATACTGAAACGTGGATGTAAGTTTTTAAATGTTTTAACCTAGGACGTAGGACCTACCATTTTAAGGACTTTTTTTAGAAATTTAACGTTTCAAAAGTTTTATAAAATATAAATCAACAGATTTGATTTTTTGGAAAATACCAAAAATGATACTTTACTCCCCAATACAGAAATATAAAAATATAAGGTTTGTTCCAACATAGCAGAGAATCGTTCTTGGTACAGTTACGCTTATACGCAGTAGAGAAAATGCGTTCCAACAACGAGAGAATCGTTTAAAACGATAATTTTTGCGTTCCAACCAGAATTGTAATCGTTCTTGAACCGTATTCGGAACGGTAATTTCGATACCAGCCTAATAGAAAGAATCAAAAGAACTGACCTGCGTATTAAAAGTGTGTCTGCTGATGGTATTCTTTTATTTCTTTGGCTATTTTCTGTTTTTAATTTGCTGATTCCTCAAGTTTTATTTGGTATTTATCGTTTTTATACATATTTTAAATAAAGAATTGTATATTTTGTATTAAATCTGATGAGTGACGAAGAGGACAGTAATATTGAGTATGTGGATACCACTGAAGATGATACAAATAAATACAAAATTTGAAATTTATATCGAAAATATAACCTAAGTAATATTAATATAATTGATAATTAGGTTATGAATTTTAATCTAAAATCAGTTCAAAAACTGTTAGTCTAAGAGCTAGCAACGTTTTCGAGAAAGTATTTTAAGACGTCTGGCTCTTTGATATATCTTTTACTATGCTTTCTGGAACAGCATGCGGCCCGTCTGGCTGCCGATACCCGTTGCGTTCACTACTGCGCATCGAAAGAAGATCCTATATTTTTTATTAATTTGGTCCTATAAAATCTAGTACTGAATGTAAATCGAACATGTCTCCATAGCGCAGTGCGTAGAGTTTCCGAACCGATGATTCAGAGTTCGAATCCGGGTCAGGGCAAAGACTTTTTTATTTTATTTTCGTTTATATTCTGATAGTAAAGTATTAAATATTTCTTTTTTTTTAATTACCAGAATTATTTAATACTTTACTATCAAAAAATATTTTGATAGTAAAGTATTAAATAATTCTGGTAATTAAAAAAAAAAGAAACTACTTTACTATCAAAAAATATTTTGATAGTAAAGTATTAAATAATTCTGGTAATTAAAAAAAAAAGAAATATTTAATACTTTACTATCAGAATATAAACGAAAATAAAATAAAAAAGTCTTTGCCCTGACCCGGATTCGAACTCTGAATCATTGGTTCGTAATCGGAAACTCTACGCACTGCGCTAAGCGGTTCATGTATGGTAGTGTTTGATGCGTTGCGCAATTGTTTGATGAATTTCAAGAATGTTTGAATTCTTTTGTGCAACAGGATTGTTTGCGCAACACGTTGTGTAGTGTATGTGTGTGTTGCGCTTCGTTGTGCCATATTTTAGTTCTTTCATCCAAATTCTTTGTTTTCTTTTTCGTTTTTTGGTATCATTGACACCATCTAGGGTATATACGATAATAATTGACGCAGTGGCAATTGAGGACATGATTGTTTCTCAAACGATGCACAACTTTTAATAAAAAGTTTGATCAAAATTTTACTAAGTGCATGGGTGATGCAGTTGTGCAACGGAACGTTGCGCATCGCTTTGTTGCGCAATTTTTTTGATAATGTATGGGCCGCTCTGTGGAGACATGTTCGATTAATATTCAATACTAGAATTTAAATGGCTAATAAAAATATAGGATCTTCTTTCAATGCGCAGTAGAGAACGCAACGTTTACCGGCAGCCAGACGGGCCGCATGTTGTTCTAGAGAGGATAGTAAAAGATATATCAAAGAGTCTTAAAATACTTGTTTTTCCGACGTTGCTAGCTCTCGTACTATGTTCTAACCCGCGTTTAATTTTGGTATAGTAACAGAATAGTAACAAATCCGATGCTGGCGATCTAATTACCGTTTTAAAACGATATAAAAATAATTCTGTGTTGGAATAAACTTATAATTTTAGAGATAATGTAATTTTAAAACGTTTCCATATATGGGTCCTAAAAACACAGCCAATTGAAATATTTTCAATTGATATATCTTATATTTTGTGACAGTCACAATGAAAATAAAAATGCTATAGTTACAGAAATAAAAGGTCGCGAGGTCTAATATAGACCAATAAATACTCTGTTTTTGGACCCTACCGTAAACTGTCCTGTTTCAATAATAAGCTTTATTAATCATGCAGCCTTACCATGTGTACAGACTATGGAGGCTAGAGGTTAGGAGAATCATCTTCGTATAGAATCGCATATTGAAAAGAGATCATCAAAGAAGGAACAATTAAGATTGCGCTGCTGTAGCAAAAGTTCTACATTTGAAAGAAGCACCAAAAATTTTTAGAACAGGAAATATAAGCGATACCAATTAAACTATAAGCACAGATCATACAGATTATAAACTTTGTTTTTTCTTTATAGTTTTTCGTGGTTCCAATTTTCGGAATCGGGCACTAGTTAGGATACTAGTTTGCGCACATAGCACGCCCACTTATGGCCTCTAAAATTGTGCACAGCGCCTGACCGGCACAGTTATTAGAGAGATATCGGAAAACCGAATAGCGTCATGCAGTATTTACGCGTACCTTATCATGGTTACGATATGCGCGTGTCAATTTTTAACGCAACACCCGCTAATAACATTACCGCCTGACGTAATTTGCAGATCAATTACACCAAGCCCTATTTCTAAATAACGTTTAAAAATTGCTTAAATGGGCATGTGCAGGTATTTGACAACCGGGGCCGACCGACGAGATCTTATATTTTAGGTTATGTTTGAATTGTTTTGAATTATTACTTTAGTTTTATTAGGTAATTTGATATTTAAGTAGCTGGGATTAGTTTTAATTAAATAAATATGGTCCAAAATATGGATTCCACCTCTTCCAATATTAAAGAACCTATAAAGAGGCTTAGGTTTACAGCAGATGACGACTTAGTCCTTCTAAGAGAATTTGTTGCTTGTTGCCCTAAACCCACTGCCAGACGTTGAACAATGAAGCACTGGAAATAAGCACTTTAGCACTTTAGTTTTAAAATACCTAGTAAACAAAACAATTTCAAAGTTTTAAATTCAAAGTTAGGTAAGTTTAAATAGCGGACGCGACGAGAACAAAATTCTTTCCGCTCCGATAACTATAAATGAAGAGAGTTAATACCACCTCACGTAAAGGAAATAACACCCTTATTAATGTCCATGCACGCTATTCGGTTTAGCGATATCTCTCTATTACTCTGTTTATTGTTATTTTACGCGAGTTTATCTGTGCTATTAGTTTCGTCATCGAACCACGGACGTATTCGGCGCCGGGCTGACTAATTGCAATTTAAATTTCCCGCTGCAAATTCAGGTGGTAGCTCTGCTGTAAAAAAAGTCAAATTGCCACATTTACTTATTAATTTCCTGACATTGTCATTCGTTTTGAAACTGTTTTTTTGGGTTTTCTTTGAAGAGTTTTTGGTTTGAATGAATTGTGTGGTGATACTTTAAGCTTAATATTTTTCACTAGCAGACCTTGCAGTCGAACGTTGTTCTTTTTAGAACCACTTTTAGTGTTAAATGTACAAGATGCCGCATCAGCTTAATAGCCGTTGCAAAAAACTTGTTTCCTAAAATATTTTGATTAAAAGAAACTATGTAAAAGTGGGCAACGCTGTGCCGGTCAAGCTTAATCACGTGAGCAAAAGTTTATTTCGTATGATCTATAAGTAGTTAAAAAGAGATATAGATAAACATGTGATTACTGAAGGCATGTGTTGCCACCCTTTTTTTTGATTAACTTCACTTTATTTATAATGACTAAATTCAGTTCGATTTTTTAATGCTTATTAGCTCTACTGTGGCCATTCAGCGAACCCATATTTTGCCCTTTTAGGTGATTACTTTTTCAGACGAGAAAGAAGTCCCATAAGAGATAATTTTCCTTACCTCTCTATCCTCAATAGATGTGTCTAAAGATGAAAAAAATATTGAACAAAAGCATTTAAAAATAACGTTTTAAATGAAATTCTTTCCATTAACTCAATATTTTTTTCCGATTTGATAAAAACCTTTGGACACATTGTACGTCTCTCTTTCAAGCTTTACAGATTATTCATGTGAATATATTGCGCCAAAAAATCACAGATTCCCTGTAAAAAAAACATCTAATTTACCAGGTCGAGTCAAAGCACGTTGCACGCGAAATCAGCGACATCCGGCTGGCTTCTTGTCACTATAACCACAGAAAACATGTCAAAAATGACAGATTCCCTGTGACTCGGTTATAAACAGAAAAAATCTAATTAATACCGATCAAATCAGTGCATGTTCCACGCGGAATCGGCGATGGCCGGCTGGCTCTGGGATTGAGCCACCACGGCTCCTCTTTGGTTCTGTCTCATGATGTCGTCGGCGGAATTACAGTGTGGCCTGGGCCCCGGTTCCGGAGTGTAGGTAAACGTCAGTCCAGTGGCGTAGATGATGCCGTCGTTACGGACGAGGGAGACGGGCACCTGGGTAGGCTGCCGAACCTGAAACAAATTAAACATTTGAAAAAAAGGATTTTTCATTGAAAAAAAAATTTGAAATATAAAAAAAGTTATTTTTTGCAAACACCACTGCGTAAAATCCAAAGGAAAACTAAAGGGAAATTAAAACAACTTTGGTTGTACGTCATCAATGACACCATGCGTCGTCTTATGTAGTTTGCTGGTGGTCGTATTATGATGTGCAACCAAAGTTATTTTAATTTCCCCATAGGTTGTTAGTGACTTTAATTCATAAAACAAATTTGTTTAAAGGTTGATTCATATACACGCGAATTGCGAATTGCGAATTTCGCAAAATAAATCCGGCGTTTATTTACGTAGTTCATATAATGATGAAATCCACAATTAATTCTAGGGATATTTCTGTTTTTAAACACATGTTGAAAATGTCACTAGTCAGGTTTATTTTTAGAAGTATATTTTTGTGTAATGACTGAAGTCTACTACTTATTTTTGGTGTAGAAGACGATCTATTGTTGTATATTTATTAATAAAAAACAACAAAAATAAAATACATAAGATAATTGAAGGGGTAACTGCAATAACCAGGCAGCTCCATTTTAAGAAATTTTGCTTGCTGCAATCAGCTCCCAAGAGCTACTCTGGTTTTTGCTGCAAACTGACAGCAAGTTAGCCCCAAATAACGTTGTCATTTATGTACTGTTAAAGGGCAATTCAGTAAAAATCTCATTTCGTTAAAAAGTGGAGCTGCCTGGTTATTACAGCCCCTTCAATTGGAACATGTGAAATATTTAAAAAGTATTTAAAACGTGAAAACATCAAGGTGAATATCACAATTTAGTGCAATAAATGAGATAAACAAAAATTAGAAACTACCATAGAATATCTATAAAGGATTTCGAGTCTCTGTGATTTTGAAAATTTTACAACATTACCAGTTTCCAATCAAAACATTCAACTTCGTACTGCAAATTAAAAAAAAACTAAATTAGATTGTAAAAAAATAAGTACCTAATAATGATTATGCACAATTTTTTCATATCTTTTCAGTTTCTTTCATCTTAACAAATGTTTATATTATGATAACCATAACAAGAAATAAATTAGCAGTGAATATTCGCAAGAATTAAATCAGTGTCTTTGATTTAAAAAAAATTGGCGCCGGGAGGCACGTATAGCCGCCCATACTAAAATATGTTAATAAAAAGTTGGTAGGCAGTTCTTTTAGTTTCAAAGTAAAGGGATTGTTCCTATTTTTTTTATCTCAAAAACTGCGACTTTGACTAATTTTGATGTTATTACATATTTTGTTGCAAATATTATTCCTAATCTTAAATTGAAAACCGCGTTTCGCTAGCTTACTGTAATTTTGGAGTTACGATTTTTTAAAATTTTTAACCCTCTCCCATACCCCCTTACCAACCCCCCACCCCCACCAAAAACTAATGGCCAGATTCTCGGGTGCCACAGTATTTTTGTGCTAAATTTGGTTAAAATCGGTTTAGCGGTTTTTGAGTTATCGTGTTACAGACAGACGGACAGATAAACAGACAGACAGACACCATGAAAATATTTTGTATTTAGGTCATTTTTGACCCAAATAACTCATTTTGAGTGAAATTAAAAAAAAACTTTTTTTGGCGATTTATAGCCTACCATACCTGTTGGTATGGTCGGCTAAAAAAGATCAATATATACATATATAAGGTCAATATTCCCACCCCCAGATTTTAAATTATGCCAATTCGCAAAATATTAAAACAACTTTCTGTCAATTTTGCCGTCTCTGTATTTTTTTGAAATTGAAAAAGAAAAAAATCTATTTAAAATGTCTAAATGTATCTATTCAGAAAATACTTTAACAGAGACATATCAATTAAAAACCGCTGACGCTCTGTAAAAATGACACCATAAAGGCGCGTTCACAACGGCTAACCTAACGCGCCTGTTGAAGTGTATTTTTTTAGCGCGTACAAAAGTATACGTTAAAAAAATGATTTGCACAGCGCGGAGCGGAGCGGCGCTGCCGGTGTAAACGCACCTTAATATGTTATTTTATCATTACTCTTGCTAAAAAATAACTTTTCTCTTTCAGTTGCAAAATAGTCTGTTTTTTTCGAAATGAACTCGTAATAAAGATATAGACATTATTATATCGATTTGGTCATTTTAGAAGTGTGGTCTGGATTTTAACGTGTAAGACAGTGATGTAGGCAGCTTAATGGAAAATCAAATGTATTAAAAAGAGATAACAGTTGGGTTGATATATTTCTTCTATGTGGGATTGCCGGATTTTGCGTCAAAAGTTCAAACCGCAAAAGTAAGCGTTTATGAAACATGTTCTAGGGTTGGAACCTTATTTTTCACAGTTTGTTATTTTACTACAGATGTAATAGATTAAATTCAGCTTAAATATATTATCTTCATTTCAGTAGTATATATGAAAGTTTTTAAAATAGTGTTAAGGTCAAGGTGTATTACTGGTTGCATAACCGCAACGGTGCATTGAGGAACCTGGCGAATTCGACAGAAAGTAAAAGAAAATTACAGAATTCTTTCTAAAATTCCAGAAACCATCGCCAGGGGGTATATAAGGCCCGCACTTTGACAGTTGGAGCAGTCTGAAGATAGTCTGAAGTTTGAATATACCGCGAAATACCGTTAGAGTAATAGTAGTTGCATAAATTGTGTTGTAAATAGTATAAGTTGTGTGTACAACGTGAGACAAATAAATTCGTTAAGTATTTTATCGTGAGTTTAAATAGTGGACCCACGGAATCCGTAACAATAGTTTATTTTTTTTACACAAATTTTCCTACAACGTAAAAAGCGGCAACACTGTATGCCGCTTTTGATTTTGTCTCTATGTCTGTCAACCGGTCATTTATATTATTCGCTGTCTTACACGTTAAAATCCAGACCACACTTCTAAAATGACCAAATGGGTATAGTCTATATATCCAACGAATATAAAACATTTAATGACAGTATTAAGTCCTTTTAATTAACAACAATTTTAAAATATCATGATAAAAAATTAAAGCAATTACTGAAATTATTTTTGATTTAACTTTAACCGCAAGTTAAATACACAATCACATAATAAATAATAAATAAAAAGAAAAACATGTGTACTAAGTACTTAAATAAATATTAATCATTACTATGAAACAGGTCTGGTATGTGTTATCTTATCTGAGTCATTAATTAACAATTAATTAATTATAAATACAAATTTAAGACCTGATCCACAAATCTCTTGAGATATGGCATTGAAATATTTCTAAATTTTACAGGCTGATACCGATACCAATAAAATATCAAGTGATTTGCGATGGTAAATACCGGGTGCATCTCAAAAGTGGCCCACCCCTATAACTTTTTTATTTCTTCAGATAAAACAACGAAATTTGGTATGTTAGTATATGTCATAAATCGAGATTGACTTGAATTGTTTTCCGGTTTTACCGGAAATGACTACAACTTTTGATTTTTAAATGGCACCCTCGCTGTTTTTTTACTTTATTCGATTGAAAATGACACTCTGAATAGAATGACATATCATACGCCAACTTTTGACATCGTTCGTAACGACAATTTGACTCGAAATACCAAGTGTGTGGTATCAAATTATTCGTAAAAAATTCTTTTTCCAAATATCCACACAAATATGAGCCACCCTCGTTCCATTTGAAAAAATTGAGACATGATTAAAAATACGATTCGGGCATCTTTTAACCGGTCAGGACAAGACACTAAAAACATTAGACGATCAAATCTATTTTTCCAAGGCTCCTTGATTAAAAATTAGTGTTTTTAACACAGCCATGGCACTCTAGATTGAAATTTAAAATGCAATTTGTTTTTGAACGAATATTTCAAAAGTTGACATATGATATGTCATTCGATTCAGAATGTCATTTTCTATCGAATAAAGTAAAAAAAATACCGAGGATGCCATTTAAAAACCAAAAGTTATAGTCATTTCCGGTGAAACAGGAAGTGACCGAAAACACTGAATACGTCAATCAATCCTAATTTATGTCATATACTAACATACCAAATCTCGATTTTTTATCTGAAAAAAATTAAAAAGTTATAGGAGTGAGCCACTTTTGAGATGCAGCCGGTATAGATTAATACAATATGATCGAAAAAAAGTCGTCAAGACGGCTGAGGATTGACAATCTGAGATAATTTTGGCGAGGTCAAGCCCTAGACGTTATTACTTGGCGTACTCTTGTTTATTTTAATGGCTCTTACTGCCAGTTGGCGTTAAGAATGTTGTGTTGTGTTGTCTAGAAACGTTCTATCCTTTTTTAATCTTTCTCTAGTTAGTGTTAATTTTGACAAGTTTTATGACAATTTTAATCAGTATATCCATATTCAGGGTATTATGAAACTCCATCTGTAAGTTAGTCTCGTTTTTTTTAATATATTCATGTAGGCATCTTCGGTATCAGGACAGGTACTTTTGAAATATTCCGGTACCGGTAATCGGTATCGTCTTGATACAAACCCTACTTTTTTACATACCGGTTGTGGTACCGGTACCGGAAAACCGTTGTTTCTGCATTGTGATTATACGAAGATCTATCTGAAATCCGAAATTTTTTTTGTGACTTTTTCAATCAGTCTGATAAGGTGTTTTTCGCAAATTAACACAGGAGTATTACCATATACGTATTACTTTTTACAAATATACTCAGCCTAATCTCCAAAAAGTGAAGCCCAAACAGTGAAAGAACAATATGGAATTCTGCATAAGTCTATTTCACCCGGATATTCATTTAACTGAGAATGCCTCACCTGAAGAAGTTTTCATTGGTCGATGTTTTTAAAGGGAAGTGGTTGACTGACATTTCCCCTAACCTTCAATTTTATTTATATTTTTATTATTTATAACACATTATCATGGAGTTGGAAAAATATCAAAAAATAGTTGGAAACAATAAACTAAACAAAATCACTCTTTTACGCGCACAAATACAAAGTAATCCAAACAGAACTAAAACAACAATCAATCGGAGTTTGGCGCAATCGCAGTTCAATCCATACCCGGGTGAAATAGACTTATGCAGTTTTAATATGGAGCTGGGTTATGTTGTCTTTTTCTTACGGCACAGAAATTGCACACGGGGTTAAATAGGGAACCCTGAGTATATTTGTAAAAAGTAATACGTATATGAGTATTACAGGCAGGTTAGGTTAGGTTAGGTTGTGATTTTAGTGTTGTAGGTTAGGACTGGGTAGTCGTATTAAAAAGTCACAATTAAAATCTTAAGACCAAACATGAATATAGGGAATTCATGTGTAACGAATAAAAAGAGAATGTATTGGTCCCCTTATTCATTCAGTCATAAAAATGACAATACCTAAGTACCTCTTTTTTTTTTCGCATTTTTTCAGCAGAGTCTGGAGTCAAAACAAAAACATTATTTCAAAACATTGATCATTTAAATTTAGTGAAACAAACCGTTTAATTTAATTTTGTATTTTACGTATTGTAACAATGATAATATATGATTTTTCTAGCAAAAAAAAATTACAAAAATGTTTCTATTAACTCTTGTCAATACATGTCCCGCTATTTCATTGAATCTTGATTAACCCTGTACACATATGACGGATTATTTTTATAATTATACACAATTTAAAGGCCAAGCTGTTATCTTTATTATGTACATCTGTTATCTCAAAATATCTGAACAAACAATAATCAAATTAAAGTATCAATCCGCGATTTTACAGTTAGTATTTTTTAAGATCATAAAATCACCCTCTAGAATCTGTAGACAGTGATATTGATATTTGGCTCAATTTCAAAACCCAAATAGTCGTTTTTTTAATCAGTCACATTGTTTGCATCTAAGATAAAGAAAGCAAATAGTAAAAAAAGTGCAATCTTGTTTTCTGGCTGTAAAGATAATATAAACTCTTTAAATCTTAATTTCGATCAATTATTAATCAAAATTACATACTTTTTGATTGACCTTTAACTCAGTTAAACATCAACAAAATTAGATAAAAGGTCTAGGCATGACAAAAGGGGACAAAACAGCTAGCATCTAAAATTTAACTGAAAAAAAAACATTTACTGTTTAATTAACATATAAGACAATATCTGCCACTGTAATGTATTATCTCAATGGACAGACTATAATTCTTTAACGCAACAATTTTTTTCAAACAAAAATACCTAGGGGATGTCATCGATCGTCATTTCCAAGCCAACTTAACGCATTTTTCTTCAATCATACAGTAGATACATTTTAATAACTAAAAGACACTCACCCACAACCATTCTCCCCTAAACTGCGATATGTCCGGCACAACGCACAGCATACTCTCCTGGCACCTGTACATCGTTTCGGCCTCGACGTCACCAAACCATACTTGCAAAGATGGCGAGAAGTTGTCACCTGTCAGCTCTAACATAGCCACATCTCCACCGCCATTCAGGAGAAGACTGTGGACTATCGGCACCGGCGTCACAGGTGATCTGCAAGAGAATTGTTTCGGATATTTTAAAAAGTTAAAAGTGAATTTGATTTGAAATTTTTCGGATTTGTTGGGCAATTTTGAGCTTATTTTATGTTATTAATTATTTATTCTCTATATTTGATATCAATTAAACTTTTAGTTACGTAATCGAGAGCCCGATTTTTAAATTCATTGTTGCCAACCATGGACATATTCGGCGCCGGGCTGACTAACTGGAATTTAAATTTCCCGCTGAGGATTCAGATGGAAGCTCTGCTTGTGGCTCTGCTGTAAAACATGTCAAGTTGCCACATGTATTTATTTATTTCCTGACATTATCATTCTTCGTTTTGACATTTTAGTTTTGTATTACGAGTTTTTGGTTTAAATGAATTGTGTTATAATACTTTAAGCTTAAAATTTTTTACAAGCAGACCTTGCAGTCATTTTAGAACCTCTTTTAGTGCGAAGTGTACAAGATATCTTAATAGCCGTAAAAAACTCATCGCAACTTTATTAGAATAGGGTCATATACCAATAGGGTCATTACTACCGCTTTCCCATGCGAAATGGGAAAGCGGTAGTAATGACCCTTTCTGTCCCTTAAGCCCTGTTAAGAAGGTGAGTTTTGTTGATGTAAATAATAACTGTTTATACATATATTTATAATTAATTTATTTTTGTTTCCTAAAATATTTTGATTGAAAGAAAATATAGAAGTGGTCAACGCTGTGCCGGTCAAGTTTAATCACGTGACTAAAAGTTTATTTGGTATGAACTTTAGGTATATTATTCCTTACTAATATAATTGGACTTATAAAAATTAATGTTAAAATTATATCCAAACTTCTGAAGTTCTCATGTTAGTCATACAGAAATAAAAAAATGTAGTTAACTAGTTAATTGATATTCAAATGATGAAATCTATTTAATATGATAAAACTTGTGATATGCTTTGAATTATTTTCCTTAATAAAAATAAAAAACATTATTTTAATATATTTTCACACCATTTAATATACAGGGTGTTCCTTAATGACATGCTAATATTTAAGGAGGCGATTCTTGCACCTATTCTAAAAAAAAACTTCATATGAATACCTATATGTCCTAAACATCTTAACTTTTGAGATACAGGGTGGTAAAATTTTCTAAAAAATAACTTTTTTTATAACACATATCTCTGATGTTATTATCGTTATCTTGATGAAACTTCATAGGTACATGTTTTCTATGCATCAAAATCAATCAATCAATCAATTTACTTATTTTAGGAATTCAAAACATTACATATTATGATGTCTTTTTTCATGTACAAAAATATTTATTTATTTCAACCAGTGCCGTCAATACGGGTTTTATAAGGAATATTTTTGGAGAAAAAATGGTACGCCACTGACTTGGTTTAAAATAAATATTTTCAAAATCTTCATTCTCTCGTCCGACGCATGATTTTTGTATAAAAAAAATTAAATCATTGTACTTCAGGGTCAAATCGCTAAAAATCTGATCCATCTATGATTATTGTGTGAATATTTTGTTGATGTTTGACCATCAAAATCTTAAAAATAAAGAAGTTGCCTAAAATGTGTGGCAATAAGGATATAGTATAATCCTTTATCTTTAATTTCCTTTTTCATTTGTGAAAATACCTAGCCAGTTTTACATAAAATGTTAAATGCCGAACGCTTATTTTGCTACACTTTTGGACTAGCGAAATGGACTCTAATGTCTAATGCCCCCCCATCATTATATTACAAAAAAATACTCAAAAATAAAAAAAGGAAAATGTTTTAGAACTTATCATTTGTCAGGTATTCAATAACAGTAAACAGTTAGGTATATAAACTTAAATTACTTAAGTGTCTGAATTTAAAGTCCCATTTTCATAATTTCACATAATTATTTGTTATTATTTACCTATTTACCAAAAACCAAATGTACTTTTAAATTGTCTGTCTGTATCTGAATGTTTTTTTCTGTTAAACTAAAAAATGTTGTCAGAACTTTTTAGTATATCTTTAACATTTTTTCACAAATATAATCATTGACAAAATAATATATAATTATTTTATAGTGTTTTATTTTAAAAATATATATTTCTGGATATATCATTATAAATTTTCGAAAATATTTCATGTTATTTTTCCAAAGATATGAAAAATTTTTAAAATATTTTTATAAATACTTTAGAAACTTGTAGAAGTATTAAATATTAAGAAACAAATATTTTTCAAATAAAGAAAATCAATATATCAGGGAATACTATACTATATTGATATAATATACCCATTTCTTAAATTTAAACTGTTTTTCTCAAAATGTCTTCTCTTAGCAAATTATTCAAATTTTTTGCATATATATTTTATTTATCATATTTATAAACCACAAAATAAACAAATTATATATAAACCACAACAGGTTTCAAGCAAATCTTGACCAGTATACTGGGCCATTAATTTTTTCAATATTCTTCCAGAGAGTATCAGGGGCCTACCTTACAATTCTGTTACTTTTTATTTTACTTTTATTTTAGTCCCATTTTACTTTTATGACGAGTGTCGCACAGATTTTGACTAAATTGTTTAATGAATTTTAAAAACCGTGGGTTTTATCTTGTGAATTTTGCATTGTAAAACTTTTGATAATATGTTAGTGCTTTTTTGTATTTTTTCACATTTAAGTTTTCGATTTTATATAGTATATTGTTGTTATATATTGACAGTGTAAACTTTTTTTTGTACTGGCATGAATGAATAAATAAATAAATAAATTTTACAATCATTTTTACCATTTTGTTTTTATAGTTTCTAATTAAGTACCATTTGACAAGTCTTATGATCAGTATACTTTCAATCTTGATAGATAAAAAACCTCACCAAACCAAACCTCACAGAAAATTACCTTTCAATCGGCTGTTAGGTATCAGAGCCAGAACAATAATTAAAAATGTTGGCAATACACAGTATTTTATAATTTAAGAAAAGTCCATTATATGGATATGCCTTAAATGATATGTTAATTAACCACATAATAAAAAAATAAGATATTAATAAATCTGATCAATATTTTACCTGAGCAAATTTCTTTTGAATGAGCTGTCAACTATCAAAGCCAACTTGATCATAAAATGTTTTGATTATAAGGACAATATTTTTATACTTAAAAGTAAAAATACATGGTTAGATATGATCAATATTTTACCTGACAGGTCCCATGCCTTCATAGAATTGATACTCAGCCTTATCAGTGGAGATGATTGTCCAGCACGCGCCATCATTGATCATCTCTTTATTTGGTTCTTTGGGACATGGAGTGGCTTGGAACTGAATGATCCTCTCTTGTGACAGACACAGATACATTCGTTCGGTGTCTTTCATGTAAAAGGCACATTTGTGAAGTTGAGACACTGGATCGTCAGCTTCCAAAAGAGCTTGTTGTTTGTCAACCTATTAAAAATATTCATACTACATATTAACATAGGTTGATGCTTGAAAAACCATTATGTTATACAAATAATTAAATCACTATGCTCTTTAATGATACCACTTGACATTTCTATCAGATAGTTAAAAACTGTTGAACTATTTCATAATATTTGAGCTGTGATATTTTCTGTTAGAATTTAATGTAATTTAAATTATTAATTATAATAAAAATTATAAAAATGGATTGTTTATTTAAGGCTTTACACAATTCAAAATATTTGCATTGTTAATAAAAATGTTAAGAAGCTACCTACCTTTCTTATAATTAATCTTGGTAAAGCCATACCCGTAACTGAACAAACTAACTTAACCGTTGAGCCATAGTGTATATAACCATCCCGAACTTGAAATTCTTCACTCTCAGATTCATTATCGTCCAAAAGATGTATCGTAAATGCACCCCACTGTGTCGAACTGGCATGAAAATGTCCATTTTCCACATGTAAATACCTTGTTGAAACAGTCTGTGATCTTAACCTATTAAATAGAGCCACTTTAGTCCCACTAGCTATACACAAATCTGCATTTTTAAGACTTTGCTTCTTCTTCGAAGGTTTCGATATAACTTTAATCCTTTTACTGTGAAACACACCAATATCATGCCCGGAACCGTAGAACATTTTCACTGACAACATAAAATGTTTTCGTTTATCAGAGTCCGATATGTATAGAGTCTTTGCTGCACAATACTGCTTGCCATTATTCAGATCTAACTGCTGCATGTCTTGGTCGGAGTTTCCAATGCCGATAAATGCACAGAGCTGTGAAGCCTGCTCTGATTCACCCTCTCGAAGCATTTGTTCTTGGCGTAACCTCCAGCCGTCACCGAAAAGGTATATACAGGGTGGTGGACAGAAGAACCTTTTTTCATTTCCGTATGATTTTTGAGCAACTTTTGCATGTAGAATAACGATAACCATGTCGGATCTTTCTCGCAAATACTTCTCCATCGCTTCTCTGGTTAGTCTCCTGTCTTCTCCCCGATAACCTCCGGGAACGACGGCTCCGGCAAACCGGGGGTACATAGCCCCATGTTGTGGCGGTGGAGTTGGTGGCGACTGTGCGTGAGCTATACCCGGTAAACCGTACTGATGGGGCATTTTCGGAAAATGGGATATCAAAACACGGCCACATAAGTACCAAACATTAAGCGGTTTTGGGTTAAATCACTTTCTCTGTAATTAAACACTGGTCCGTCATCGAGAATCACTACCGACTCGAGATACGCTTGTTATTGCTGGCGTTTAAAACATTTTTAACTGAGAATGCGTAACTAGGAGATACTCTTCGCGGCTACCGCCGTACGTGAGAACCAAAAGCTGTTCATTTCCCCTTCTTTTCGTCGTTCATCATGCTATGCTACCTCATTTCTCCGTTTTGAAAAACACCTGTTTACGACTTGATTTTTTCCGACAGTCTGACCAACAACCCTCTCTGCGGGAGCTTTGAAATTTCTCACACCATTCTCGATTACAATCTTCAAGGAATACTAAATGAATACTAACAACGCTAACAACTAAAACATTTATAATCTAAAGTAAACAACCTATGTAACGATACTTGTGTGATAACAGTTTGAATTTTGACAAACATATCAAAGTTATTTCTGTTTTGTTATGTTGGCAATCTGAACATGGAATGTGCACATTTCGTCATTACGAGGGCTTGTTGAAAAGTGTGATAATTTAGAAAGCAGGGGTGGAAATAATTAAAATCAATATAATGAAGAAATAAAAGGATTATTATTTTAATTATATTTGATTTTATCTATGCTTTAGTAATTGTATTGTCAAATACTATTATTTGACTGATTTATCCGTTATTTTGTGAGTGTATTTTTATAAGTTTAAATAAAACACGAGTACAAAGTTAGAGTTATTTAAAGCTTACGCAGAAATAGTACCGTATGATCGAAAAAAAAACGGTGTCCAGTTGGCTGGGAAATAACGATCCATGACATTTCCCATATAAATTTACAAATGAAATGACAGCGATCTTCATTTCATAGCCATCGCTAACGCCGTTTTTTTCGATTATACGGTATATTGTTTTACAATACCCAAACCGCTGGAGATATAGTATATACATACAGGGTGTCCGAAAAATGCACGGCCTAATTTCACGCCTTCAATTCATTTCAAGATATTCTAATAAAGTTGTGATGAGTTTTTTAGGCTTAATGACTTCTTATACACTTCGCACTAAAAGAGGTTCTGAAAAGAACAATGATCGAGTGCAAGGTCTGCTAGAAAAAAAAATTAAACTTAAAATATCACAACACAATTCGTTTAAACCAAAAACTCGTAATACAAAACTCAAGGGTCAAAACGAATGACAATGTCAGAGTCGGGAAGTAAATAAATAAATGTGTGTGTGGCAAAAAATTCAACTGCATTTGAAATTTTATTAATTTTTCTTTAAAACGGTAAAAAAAATTGAAAAACTATAAACAATATTAAGTTATTAACCATTTTAGAATAAGCAAAAACTTTTTAAAGAACCCATAAAGGATTCTTGCTATAAGATTTAAAAAATAACCAATACGGCCCTATGTAAAACGCCTGTATATTTTTTATTTCTGGAAAAAAATAAAGTCATATATTTTCTCTCCGACTCAGTTCTGTATTAAGATAAAACACCCAGTATATGATACTAGCTACTGCTCGCAAATCGGTTCCTCGATTTGAAAGTATCCATATTTATGGATTCCATGAATTCGGTCCCTTTTAATTGACTAACACATGGCACACAGATATCTGTCTTAAAAGGGATTAATATGGGAAATATGCCCCCGCAGCCCGCAGCTATTTTGACTCGCACTCAAGGGATCAAATAATCAAATCAAATCAAATTTATTATGTTAATATACGGAAAAAAAATCAGGGGATCGATTTGGTGTCGAATCAAAATAATTCACCTAAATTTTTAGCTCTTTAACTCAAACGGTTTTCGAGATTTTCAATAAACCTATTTTTTCAATTTTATTTTTATTTTTATAGTAAAATTCCAAATTAATTAATGATGATTTTTTTTCCAATTCTTAGAAGTCTAAGACATGAAGAAATAATATGATCATGATTCTTAAACAAAAAGCCGATTTTTAGCGGAGGAAAGAAAATTAAAATGTTCATTTTTTTAACCTTTGTGAAATTAGTCACTCACTAAAAATCGCCAGAAAATGTCTTTTATACTTCTTTACACTCAGGAATTTTTTAGAATTTTTTGAAGTGGTGGAACAATATGAAAAAAATTAAAAACTCATTTTTTTTCTAAAATCTTCTGGGACTCGTTTTTTTATAATAATCTATATGTTTATTTCTGACAAGGATGTATTTTTAATGAAAAAATATTTTCTACTCACTTTTTTAAACTAAACAAAAATACAAGTTAGTAAAAACAGAAGATTTTAGAAAAAAATGAGGTTTTATTTTTTTTTGATATTGTTCCAGCACTTCAAAAAATTCTAAAAACGATTTTTAGTGAGTGACATATTTCACGAAGGTTAAAAAAATGAACATTTTAATTTTCTTTCCTCCGCTAAAAATCGGCTTTTCGTTTAAGAATCATGATTAGGGAATGCAATCCTGCAAATGCTGGATCCCGCAAATGCGGGATCCCTCTGAGATTCCGCGGGATCAAAGTTGCGGTATTTACCGTGCGGGATCCGCGGGATCGACCCATTACTACTGAGTCACCGAATCGATCTGGATCAGGGTCAAACCGTTTCGTTCCGGGCCGATGCGTCGACGGTCGGAACCTAAGGTCGGAACCCGGGGGATTCCCCTTACGGCTTGGCCATTAAAAATAAGTGAAACAAACAGGTTACTTGTTAAATTTCTTTCTGGCGTATGTGCGTAAGTGAAGAAAAGCGTTTAACTAGTACTTGTGGACAATTTCGTCAAATAAACTGCCGGACATATGTAATTATCGGGACAAGCAAAATTTTATGGAAAATTTAAAGTTGAATAGGTATCTCTTGAACTAAAAAAGATTTTGGGATGCGGTTTGGACCAGGTTTTAGATGCATCTATTGTGATTAAGATGCTATATGGTTTTCGAAAATATATTTAGCGAATTCTCGTATACAGGGTGTTTTATAAGAGTGTGAAAATTTGGTCAAGAATCTTTTTTGCCGCAAATTTACAATTTTTAAAAAATCGAAATTTTTACCAAGTACGACTAATCTGTATTGAAATTAGAAAAAACCATTTGAGAGGTTATTTTTTTTTTATTTTAAGAAAAATACGACGTTTTTTTTGAAAAATATGCATTTTTAGTCATACGTATGGTCCTAAATGGTACAAAAAGCTTTGTACATTCTGCATATGCCAAAAAATTATTGATATAGAGTGTATCTAAAAGCAGATAACTAACACAAGTTAAAAAAAAACTTCAACATAATATAGTTGAATAATATTTTTATTTATAAAATAAGTAGATAAATTATAATAAAATTTGAGTTTATTTAATATTAAATATATTTTTTGAACACCCTGTATACATCGGTCCAAATTTCTGTACAGCTAGTTTAAGATACACGCTATATCAATATATTGTCCAATATATGGCCAATATATGGCCTGTATATAGGCCAATATATGGCCTATGCAAAATGTACAATGCCTTTTGTACTATTTAGGACCAAATGTATGACTTTTGTCTATAGTCCCGCAATTTTGCGGATCCGCGGGATTGACTGCTTTAATCCCGCGGGTTTGCGGGATTGAGATTTTGGTGCGGGATTGCATTCCCTAATCATGATCATATTATTTTTTCATGTCTTAGACTTCTAAGAATTAGAAAAAAATCATCATTAATTAATTTTGAATTTTACTATAAAAATAAAAATAAAATTGAAAAAACAGATATTTTTGAAAATCTCGAAAACCGTTTGAGTTAAAGAGCTAAAAATTTAGGTGAATTATTTTGATTCGACACCAAATCGATCCCCGGAGTGCGCTGACTCGCAAAAGCCACGGGGGCAGATTTCCTATATTAATCCTATTAATCCGCGACTATACCCTTTATAGTTATTTATTTTTAAAAGCGGGCATTTTCTAAATCAAAGCCTTTTTAAACATGCTGTTTCATTCCCGACCGTGTTTTTTATTGCTTACATTATTTTTTATTTGTAATTTTCATTTCAATTTATTAAATTAATGTATATCTGTTAACTGGTTTTTATTTAACGAACCAAAATTACTAAAATAAAAAGAATATCCTCCCATTTCGAGTCTGAAATAATTCCACAAATTGGAATATAATTATCAACCCTCATAAATTCAGAAATTCTTTTCAGATTGCCTCGGTATAGCGCGATTCCCACGCCCGTCTTCTGAAGCTAGGGCAGCGGAGCTTTTGTAATGACCCGCGCTCCAGTGGTAGAAAATAAGTATTTGTCGGAGCTAAAATATATTTTTGGTTGAGGGGGGTCTACCCTTGTTTATTTTGTATTATGTTTATTTTATGTATAGAAGGGTTGAACAAAATTGAGAGGTTGGTTCTTATAGATTAATCAATAGTGGTTAAAGAGAGCTATGGGGTCATGGCTGGCTCTCCCTCTAGTTAGGGTTTCCATAAAGGCTTTTGGAAATTCCGGACAAGTGAAATCAGAAATCTGGACACAATCCGGACAAGATCCAGACGTTGCAAAAAAGAAACTATAATTTATTTATTTATGAACTTTTATAGGATGCAAATAATAACCCCGGAATCAACAAAATGTAAACCAAAAAAACATTCACTTTCCAGGAGTGCACCAAAAGCGTAAAATTTGAGTGCCAAAATATAGAAATTGATACTTTCGAATATGCATCGGTTAAGTTAGAGCTGTAGCATCGTAGAGACTAAAATCTAATTCAACAAAGTAACTGAGAAATTAATTCTACTATAACTGATATATAAAATATTTTACTAAGATAAATTGATTTTGCGATCAGATTTTCCGGACGCTTTTCCAAATCCGTGCCGGATCGCCCGGACACTTTAAAAATCCGGACGTACAGAAACACTACCTCTAGCTCAGAATTAATTGTAAAAATAAAAGCAAACTGAAAAATCTCCATTAGTAGGAAGAGATCCATAGAGTAAGAAGGAAAACAAAGGCGTTACAAAGATAAAAGAGATATGTTTACAAAATGTTTATGAAAGCGACATGGCGGCAGTAAACTATTAGTCTAAGAGCGGGCTACATAAAAAAACCTTATCATCGTTACATGGCGAATTTTTCTTGTGAAGTATCCTTTTGTGTGGTTATTACGAAATAGTATCTAAGGAAATAGTAATGTCTGCCAGCGCAATCCCGGGGCTGGCTTGAAGCGTACGCGGCCAATCGAAAGGGTGAAATTTTGACACTAAAAATATTATACGGTGCACAAGTTATAATTGCGAAAATAGCTTTCATTTATTATTAAGAAACGTGAAAAAATGCCGACAGACAACGCGAAAGAGGCATGAAATTTTGAAAAAAAAATTATGGCATACATGTATGCCGATTGGTGGAATGTCATATTTATTTATTTTAAAAGCAGTATGCAAAAGGGCAGACAAAGAGTCTTAAATAAGTGCAAATACTTTTAAGAGTGATATAT